AGGGTGTTGAGCATGAGGTTGCTGAGTGATTTATCTAGGCTACATGGCCACTGGGCACTAATGGGGGATATTAGGATAGGGGAAGCCTACTAACTCCCAAACCAATACAATTTCAAAAGTAGTATATGTACCTGATCACCTAAAACTGTCAATCCAAATATGACCTATGTAAGTGAAGGTGCCTTAACCATGGGAGAAATCTGAAAGTCGTCCTGTGCTATGTCCCTCCTGATGCAAAAATCCTGTTGTGAACATCCCTGACCATGGATGATGTACATTCATCCTGGCTTACTCCAGACCCTGGTATTTTATGGAATATTTTATTTTGTCTTTGGATATGTCTGCATGCTAATAAAGTTATTCTGACATAAGGTCAATTTTATGGTTTTGAAGTTTTGATCCACCAGACTGAGGAATTCAGAGGTCGGTGACTCCATAGGTGATGGTGACTTTTGCTTTCTTTTCTTAAAATGAAAGCAATGATGCCCATCGTGTAGGATCACGATAACGTGAGAGATGTGGTTTATAACTTATCTACCATAGTGCCTGCTCCAGCGGAGATACTACTCAAATTGTAGTTATGATGGATTCTTATATTTTTGGTTGTGAGCCTAGCCTTTAATGGCTGAGCCATCTCTCCAGCCCATGATGACTTCTTAGCATCATGATTCCATATTCTGTAATTATGCCCTCTGGAGCGATGCAGACTGTGTCTAATCCTGCAAATATTTGAAGGCATTTACTGTGACCCTCTAGGTCTTCCCTCTTCAGACTAAATATTCCCTGGTTCCTTAGCCATTCTTCCTGCAATGCATTTTGAATGTATTCATTACTCTTATTCCCTCTTATTTGTCAATTTTCCCCTTAAAATGTGGTGGCCAAATGTGGTGAGGCCAACATACCCTACTGTGGAATAATCACTTCCCCTGGTCAGGACGCTTCACTTCTAAAACAACCTAGATTTATGTTAGCATTTTTGGAAGCCAGATCACACAGTTGGCTCAAGGAAAACCTGATTCTGCTTTCCAGAACATTAGCTGTGTCTCCCAACTTTGTGTCAACTGCAGATTTGACAAGCATGATTTTTATATCTCCATCCAAACTGTTGATAACGATGTTGAACAAGAAAAGGTCAAAGGCCGAGCTTCAGTGCACACATCTGATCTTCGTCTGCATACTGACATCCATCCAATGTCATCTGTTTGGTGACACTGTTTCTCTCGCTTCAAATCTGCCCACCTGCACAATCAAAAATAACTCAGAAAGATAATACGCTCCTTGTGTTTTTGAAATTGGTTGTTGAATTTATCTGGATGTAAAATACTAGCCTTTTATCAATAAAGACAGGTTTTGAATCCATAATTGGGACAATGTGAACTCAGAAAATAATTTCATGTTGAATTCCTATGTAAGGATTAAAGAAAACAGTCACCTTCTCTAAATGTGAAATGAAAATGCCTTTACCAGATTGTTTATTTTTCCAAAATGTTTTAAAATCACTCTCTAGGTCTGCGGGGGGGGGGGGGAAGGGGGAGACTAGATAGCATGCAGATTTTATGTGTGTATGTTGGGAGATTATGAAAAGGTGAAAGTATATTTCAGGAGTCACCTTTTAGAGACTGCAGAGACAAAGAGATTTTTAAAAATTGTTGCTAGGGTAGGGTATAAGACTTATTCCTAAATAATAATTATTTTCTCTTTAATGATTCTCAGAAAAGGCTTTTAAGCTTTGGCATCTTGGGGTGAAACTTCTTTCTCTAATTTGACATGCTATGCTCTCACAAAAGCCAACCAAGCTCCTTGTGGCACAGCCTGAGCCTAGTCTTCAATGGTTTGTACATAGACATAAAGAAGGCTATTGGTCAATTTAACAAAGCATTCAAGGATCAGAGGCTTATCCCTTGGGACACTCTGAGCAGGTTTCAGAGATTTTCTTTTCAAGGTTTCTTCTTGGTTCTGATCTCCTTTAGTTCTTCATCCCATGCTCAAACAAGTTCCCAAAGTCTAAAGCTCTGTGGCTGTCAGCATGCTTCCAGGTCTCCAGGTGAGCAGATGAGATGTTTGTGCTCTCAGAAGTTGGCCAGGGGATAAAGACTCAACAATCAGAATAGACAAGGAACACTGTCCAGTGGCTCAATAGGCACTTACCTCTGGTGTAGTAATGGAGTCACAGTGGAGAGCCAAATCAGATTTAGTTTCTACTCTCACGGTGATTACAAACGAGGGCAGACATAGCTAACAACTGTAGAATTAAGCACAGCTATAATCTTATGAAAACCCCTATAAAAGAAACGGCTCCCATCACTAGGGAAAGTATGGAAGACTTCCTAGGGAATGAACAGTCTGAGAGTTGAAGGTGTAGTTCGAACAAGGGCATTGGTGTTAAAAAAAAAAAGAAACAAGCAAAAATCAGCCTGGCATTGGTGGCACACGCCTTTAAGCCCAGCACTTGGGAGGCAGAGGCAGGCGGATCTCTGTGAGTTCCAGGTCAGCCTGGTCTACAGAGCAAGTTCCAGGTCAGCCTCTAAAGCAATACAGAGAAACCCTGCCTCGAAAACAAAACAAAACAAAAAACACAAAATAAACAAACAAAAAGAAACAAGCAAAAATCGTATTATAAAGTCTCACCTGACAAGGAGTAAGATCAGAATGCAGGCAGAGGAATTCCAGAAAGGCGGGAGGAGGCACCGAGAACTAGAGTGAAGATAGGATTAGCTGAACTGCTTGGTAGGAAGGGTGCCCTGCAGTTGTGGATGTCACAAACAGTGCTGTCGGCATATTTCAAAGTAAAGAAGCCAGGCAATGAATGACTTGGGGTGGGGGTGCATATTGCACTGTGTGCAGTGTGGTGGGTCATACATTTTGAAGAGTTCTCAGTGCAAATACAATGGGAAGGAGGAGGGAGAAGAGACAGAAAGAGTGAAGAAAATCAGAAGTCTCCTTACTGCAGGACAGGAGATAACAGCGATTAGGTACAGGCTGCTGGGAGAAGGAATGGGAATGTAGAAAGAGGAGGGATGCTTGGGATAAATTGGTGGAATTTGAAACTGCATCTTGGCATGACAGAAAAGAGGCTTCTTAGGTAACTCAGCGAGACTTCCCGCATTTCATATTTTCTTCTGTGCGTGTAAAGATGTGGTCCTAAACATCGAATCCTACAGTTTTAGTGATACACAGTGGGAAAAGCGCAGTAAAAACAGGTATAAGAAAGGGAGTCAGAATTCTCCTAGGCTTTGGACCTATTACTGAAATATAGGTGATTATGAGCAATATGGGAAGTTTTTTAGTATGGTTGAGGAGCTAAATGAGACAAAAGATCATCCACCCGGTATCCCGTAGTTGGGAACATAATTGTGTTAAGGTTCACTTTTCAGAAGAATGACACAAGGTCTTTATTTCCATCATTATTTTAGTGGCTCTGGAAGTCTTAGGATCCTATAAAGGAAAATACAGCAAGCCCATGTCTGTATGGTCGTGTGACTCTATACACCCGTTCCCTTTGTCCAGCCACAGTATTTCTCCATGGCAGGAAAACCTCCCAGTGTATAAGAGGGGCCTTTGGGCCATGTGCATATACATACATGCCTTTGGGATCCTGTGATGACACAGTCAGCTCTCGGTCTGAGCCAGGTGCCCGTTTTCCATCTGGACTCCTTACAAATTGTGTGGTCAGGGCTTAGAAATCAGAAACTCGGGAAAGGTGCCATGTGATGGGTGCAACCACCCCCAATGTCTTACATGTTATCACCGTCAGTTAACACATAGTGCAGGAAATCCTGCTCTTTGCAGAAGAAATTCAAAGGGTCACTTCACAGCCTCCTGGGTAACGCTGATTTTTTTCCCTTGCTAACACCAAAGTGTGGACAGATATATACCTTTTTCCTCTCAGGTAAATTGCAAGTGACACTCTGTTTCTTCCCCACACCCCGCCCCATCTTCAACCTACTATCCAACTGACCTCTGGAAGTCCCCTATCCTTCTAGACTGAAGGAGGCTACCTGCCTGCACAGGGGTCTGCCTAGACTCTTGACTGTGAGTGGTTGGCCATGTACATTCTCTTCTTTTGCTAGGCTCTGACTCTGTCACATCTCAGTCGCAATGCCTTGATCAACCCTGCTCTGCCTCGGTGTGCATTCTATCCTGTTGTCCCACTAGCTTGCTTTTCTGCCTAACACAATTATTTAACCCAGTTTTATTTTAGCTTGCTTCTGAATTTAAACAGCATAGCTTCCATTGGAGTCAACAATAGTCTGTTGTGTGGCTCAGATAATGTCTGTGTCCCTCCCTTAGTTCATCTAGGCAATAGCATTTGTTGAAGGGCCGTTATGACCCACACATCACCATTCCATAGTCTAGAGGACATGATCACATCTCTCTATATTCCATGATTTCTTTTGGTTGTCAGAGGGCAATTCCATGGAGACACAGCCTCATGTTGCAAGTGTTATCCATGTCATTGGACTCCCAGTACCCCAACTTGATCTCTTAGAAAGAATCCTCCACACTACATAGCTTGTTCAGCACCCGGATTATAATCTAGGGAAGTATTAGTTTCCTGGAAAAGAAGATACGTGGTTGCAGTGTCGTGGTACTGAAAACAAAGAAAACAACAACCTGGAGCAGTGTTGTGCAAAGCAGGATGAAGACCCAAATCCACCAGGTCACAGCATTCTGTCCTCACCGTTTTCTACTGCAGTGTGTATCTCCCAGTCAGATAGGGTACACACTAGTCCTCTTCCCCCTCCACCGTGTGAGCCTTCCTTCGGGATGGCAATGTGCTCAGAAAGCGCCAAAGCATTTCCTTTTGTGCTTTATTCATTGGATAAGTAATCAATATTTCTTGCTTCCTCATAACCGTTAAGTTATAACAAGACCAGTGAATTCACACCTTGCCAGAAGCCATAACCCTATTTAGGTGACATAACCAGATTTCCAGCTTTGGCCATGGAGGGCTGGGCCTTGGCTCCTTCTGATGCTTCTCCTCTGTCTTCTCTGGGCAGAATATCTCCATGCACAATGCAGTCGGTGGGACCATGACGGGGCCTGGAGCTCACCAGCTAGGCAGCACACGGATGCCCAACCACGACACCAGTGTTGTGATTCAGCAAGCCATGCCATCGCCCCAGTCCAGCTCAGTCATCACACAGGCTCCCTCCACCAACCGCCAGATCGGGTAAGGAGACTTCCTCGTTGTCTCTGGGGAGCTCAGGCAACGTTTTGAATATTCTCCCCGTTTCTGGGACTTGGGTCTGTGTTTTTCCTGTCTGATATGATGCCGCCAAGAGGTCAGAGTGATGCGTTTGATGGGAGGATGGAGAAGGAGTCTCCATTTAATCCTGGATGTGGAGGGGGGAAACTGTTCATTCTGTGACCTAATTTCTTCAAATAAGATTTGTGAATGACAGACAAAAATTGTAGGTATTATGTAGACCACAGACGGGTGCTCAGGACAAACGTTTGGTGCAGAGACACTTTCTGCCAGCCCCGCCTCCTCCTTGCAGTGTGCCCCCCTCCCCTTCCTGGGAGTTTTGAAGCTGCTTGGCTAGGCCACCTGTATAGTCCATAGCTACCTTTCCCTCTGGTCTTTCTTCCCCACGCCTCTCTCTTGTTATTTCTTTCTCAGCCCCACCCACCCCAACTTCATCATTAGCGCTATTCCTGAAACAGACAAGACAATGGAACCAAGCCCTTTTCCTCACGTTTATGGAATAAGACAATATTGAGACATTAAGGGAAACTGGGAGAAGTATCTTGACACTCAGATCATGTGATGGAATTCTACATATCATGTGACTAATCCAGCCCCTTGCCACGCAGAGTGTGGTCTGACCATCACCAATGTGGACATTGCCCAACAGCTTCTTAGAAATCCAGAACTCCCCACCCCCCAACTTCCACGTCTCCAGAATGACGATGGAGTGTGCTCTTTCCAACCTCTAAAGAGTTAAGATGAAATACAAGATGGGGAAGCGTGTGGGTTCTTAGGGAGAAGAAGCACTGGCTTCTCAAAGTGCACACTGCTGGGTGCTGACAACTGGCTGCCCCGTGCCCCCAGAACCGCCTGCCGCCTGCCGAAACCAGGAGGGGAAGTTCCTGTGGTGGGAGCATGCATGAGTGCAGTCTGAGTTTTCCCACTGGCTGTGGTGACCGAAAGCAAACTTAGATGCTCCCTTACAATTTTTCCATGTGTCTCCAGAAAGTCCTGGCTTACTGCTTCTTGAGTGCTCTAGAATAGGGAACTGTCTCTCAGGTTTCTCGGTTCATCAGAAGGACCCCTGCTGAAACCAGAGATGTAGGTGATGACCCTTCTGTTTGTCATGGGTGTGTTTGGTGATTCAGCCAAAGCAAGGACAGCGAGTGTGGCCTTTGGAGCTCCTTTTGCTTAAAGAAGCAGGTGTTGCTGTAGCAAGTACCCCTGATAAAAATGTCTTCTCAAGTGACTTGGAAAGCAATTATTGCCACTATCTCTAAGCTACAATTTTCTAGGAGGGTAATGTGGCTTCGTTCATGACGGCCTTCAAGTCTCAAGGGACTCCTTCTCACTTGGGCCCTGGCTATGGGCAGATAGTTCACAGCTGGGCAAGCTAATTATAATTATTTTATTTTTCTTTCAAGGGGGGAAGCATAAAATGTGCAAGAGTTTACTAGCAGTTTTACAGCATTCCTTCCCCCCTGCCGCCCCTGTCTGCCCCCTGTACCTTGGCCCACAACCCTCTCTGAGGCCCTTAGTGTTCCCGCAGCACTGGGTTTTATGAAGCAATCCTTTTAAGGCTAGCACTAAGTTTTAAGATGGGTATTGAGTCTGTCAATAATTTACCCAGCTGGCCCTGGACTGTGCATTGGGTGACATTTGTAGGCTGTGTCACTTACTTTGCCACTGATTCTGCTTCTTGGAGGCGTTGCTTGTCTCTCCTGGTGTATTCTAGAAGATAATTGTTACTTGGAGGACTCTGTCTTCATTGCCCAGCTTGAGGGAGGGTATTTCTTTTCTCCAGATCCTTCCCTGTCGTGCTTACTATGTTGATTCAAACCCCCCATATCCTGTCACTTAACGTTGCTTCTCCCTGTGATCCATCCAAAACCTTGCCCAGATGGTTATAAGGCTCAGCAAGCTCCAGCCAGCCCTGCCCTTCTTACCAGCAGATCGAGTATGGAACCTTAGGTGGTAACATTTGGGGATGGCTGGCTCTTTTATTTCCCTCAGCAAAGAGGAAATGAGTGCTCATTTTAAAACATGAGTTCCCCCGGGAGATGTCTGTGAATGAGCATTTGAAATTGCAGATAGCTTTTTGAAAATTCTAGTGTGTGTGTGAATGTGTGTGTGTGTGTGTGTGTGAGATGAGCGTGCGTGTGCTTGTACACATGCATGAGCCTACAGAACCATATTGTAGTAATATTCTGATTTTTATCACAACCTCAAATATTTAAGTGTCAAAATCTGGCCAAGCCACCTGCAAATGTTTGTCATGGCTATTGGCCAACAAAAACAGCACACAGCAATGAAAGTCTTCATTCAGGCTCAGTGCTGAAGCTGCATCGAGCCAGAGAGACTGGGACCCACCTGTGCCCAAGCACAGCACTCTTGTGCGGGGGCTAGTGGGTGTGTTCACAACTGGAACTTTGTAGGAGACGGGACTGCCTGTCCCCTCTCCCAACTCTTCCTTCCCTCTCACTGGGGATTTACTTCTGCAGTCATCCTTACCGCCCCCACTGTGTGTGTGTGTGTGTGTGTGTGTGTGTGTGTGTGTGTGTGTGTGTGTGTGTGTGTCTACTTTCATTCTGTGACGCTTAAGCCTAGAGGCTGGATACCGAGGTCTGCAAAATGGAAGTGGGGTAAGTTGTCAGCGAAGGCTTCCAGGACAAAGGGTATGCATCCTCGTAAGCATCTAATTTTCATACTTGGGGAGCAGACACTGAGGCAAAGCAGACCAAATGGGTGGAAACATAAGAGCCTGAAGAAATAGTGTTAAGTATGCAGACGAGCAGCAGCCTCAGCTCCTTTTCCATTCCGTGGCGACCCCTGCTATGCCCTGTGTGCAGTTCTCGGAAAGTAGTGCTATTATCTCAATAGAAACTGGAGGGAAGTATAAATATCCCAAATTGTACTTGGGTGGTTAAGCAGGCTAGGAAAACACACAGCTCTAGGGAGTGTGGGAGGTATCCCCCAAACCAGTGACTGCTTGTGCTCAGCAAAACTGGCAGATGCCCTGTCAGGAAGAGTGTCGTTGGCTGATTGATGGGGGTGTTTTAGGAGATAAGTTTCCCAGATGGGGTAAAAAAAATGAACTATGGGTTGCAGAGTGACAAGAGAGACAGAAAACAAGCATGTGTTAACTAGAGATGAAATCGATTTAGCCTTGAACCAACTATGTGGCACATTCCAAACAGTATCTCTACTCCAGTCGTTTTTATTAGATATCATATAACACGCTCATTAATTCAGGATCAAGACAGCAGAGCCTGGGAAAAAAAAGTACATGAGCAGGTAATAGTAATGTAAATCCCATGCGCGTCTAATTCTCCCTCATCACACGAGGCATTTCTGGAGGAGCCCATGATTAGTTGAGGAGTTAGATGGGTCCAACCCTAATAGATCCAAGTGTTCTTAGAGGAGTCTGTTCCCCTCTATGGAATGGTACATGATGGATGTTCAGTAGTTTTTCAGGAGACTGATGCAGATAATATGGACATGGAGTTCTACCACAATGGTCAGCAGTAGAGAGTTTTGACATTTTGTTGGAGCCATTGTTGACCTATTTCTGAGGTTTCTTCTTGGTTTTTTAATTCTCTGTATAGACTTCACAGTAATTGCATACAATGGGAATGTTACATTTGATGTCAGAATACATAAACCTGAAACATTTTGGTTCTGTAGTCAGACTTTCTTTGGATCACCAGCCCCCAGATAGTAACACTGAGACTTATTATTTATTATGAAAGCTTGGCCATTAGCTTAGGCTTTTCCCATTAGCTCTTAACTTAAATTAGCCTGCTTTTATTAATCTACATTCTGCCACTTGTCTTGGTTACCTCTACTCTGTACCATATACCCAACCTCTTCCGTGTTTCCCTGGCACCTCCTAGATTCTTTCTCCTCTTCCTCTCTCTCTGCAGAAATCTTGCCTAACCTCTTCTGTCTAGCTATTGATCAACCAGTTCTTTATTAAACCAATCGGAAAGCACCTTGGCAAAGACACATCTTCACAGTGTGCAAATATTCTGCAACATGGTTCTATTAGCTAATCAGCCAGCTGTACTAGGGAATTGGCAATAAGTTTCAACAGAAAGCATTTATGAAGCTGCTTGTGTGGGAAATCCCTCCTGGACTTGACTCAAATTCTAGTCCATGGGGTACAAATGTCCACATCAAGTGTAGCAGTTGGGGAATGGGTCATAAACTCTGTTTTCTTGGAGTTGAAGTAGTTGGATATATTTCTTAACAGTAAATCATACAAAATATTGTGAAAAATTCTTATTTTATGTAAAAGATGCTGTTAGCATGATGCTACCTGCTCCCACCCTTGTCTGCACTGCCTTCCCGGCATTTCTTTGTATCCTAATGCTGTGTCAAGAACAATGCCTGGAGGTGGCCTGTGGACATACCAAGGAAAACAAACACTCAAAAATAAAATGGGAAGCAGGGCTTAGGTGCTGGAGCACCGCTGCTGTTTCCAAGGGGGAAAAGCAGAGGCTTTGCTGTGTGAATTGCCATTGTCACTCCAAGTGCCATCAGACAGGGATGTTCTGAGGCAAGGAAGGGGTCCTGTCACTGTTTCTCTGGGAAAAATGAGTAAGGGGGGGTTTGGGAAGAGCTGCATGCACAGACAGGAAGTTTGCAAATCTAAATAATCTAAACTCCTCAACCAAACTGAGCCTTGCTGTGACTGTGACTGTCACTGTCCATCATAACCTAAGTTGGGGACATCCTAGCCAGTTCCTTCCTGCTGGAGGCAGTGGTGGATAGATTTCAGGTTGTTACTGCAACCCCGCCCTCAGCCAGGACAACTTGAAGCTCTGTTTGAGTAATTCAGACCAGAAGCCATTGTTTCCTGCTTTGTGTTGTGCTGAATATCACGGCTATGAACATTGCTTTATTGTTTGAAAATTGCTAGATCTTTCACAGCCCCAGGAACATTTACGAGGGCCCTTCAGGGGGATGCTTTCAGGGAGGGT